AAGCTATGCCCAAACAGTTTGTCTTTTCTGGGGTGAGCAAGCAGAGACCTGTGAAATGCCATTTACTATTCAATAATTTATTCTATTGCCCCATTTCAATAAACCGGATTTGCTTTTGTGTGCATTCAAGTGTAAGAACCGCGGTTTTGCTTTGGGTCTGAACGTTTCAAATAATACATTTTTAGCAGGTGAGATCTTTTTGACCATCCCGGAATTATTCCAGCTAAGGAATCGTAATATGTGATCATTGTTTTTAAAAGGTGTGAAGACCAGCATGACACAGTCCCTAATACTAAGGGAAGGGAGTAACGAGGCTTATCACAGTGTCCTCACACAAGGGGGCCCCATTAGCTAGTTGGACATCCTTTGTACTGCCTGGCAAGTCAATGGAAGAGGAGATCTTGGACGAGATGGCTTATTCAATCAGCAATACAGAGTTACTCAGTTCAAGAAACAGATCAGTCTACCTCCGAGATTTCAAAGCTGAGTTACAAACCCTCTGCTGCCTACTGCAGTCTTCCTATCATCCCGTCCAGCGGCACGTCTAAGAATGTTGGCCACTTCTCTTAACAAGTCACGATAGGGACATAATCACGGCAAGTAGCAAGGAGAAAAACTGCTGCTAAGGAGAAGATGCTACCTCTAGTTTTTGAAATGAAGGTACTTGTACTTTGGAAATGATCTGTGTACCCTGAAAAATCACCCTATTTTATTGGTGACTGATAAGAATCTCAATTTGGGAACTGGGTTTTCTCTTCCTAGAATCATCCTTTCCGATCGCAGGTACAACAATGTACTTCAATTGCACCTTCCTGGGACACATTTTCTGTCTTTACTCCAAGCTGACTCCTTAACACCAACATTTCAGAACACAGTGCCATCAAGATGAAGTAATTCTTTTTTTTTTTTTTAAAGATTTTAGTTATTTACTTGAGAGAGAGAGAATGAGAGATAGAGAGCACGAGAGGGAAGAGGGTCAGAGAGAGAAGCAGACTCCCCGCCGAGCAGGGAGCCCGATGCGGGACTCGATCCCGGGACTCCAGGATCATGACCTGAGCCGAAGGCAGTCGCTTAACCAACTGAGCCACCCAGGCGCCCAAGATGAAGTAATTCTTTCATTAACTATTTTACTAATACACCAACTGAGGAAGTTCTGATTGTACAAAGCAAACGAAACTTGAGTAAATATGTAATATTGGGTAAATATATTTAAAAATGTCAACAACAAAGAATGAAAATTGTTAATATTTTCAGCATTGACTCTTGTTACAGAGAGGTCCAAACTATCTCAGAAATCGAGTGAGAAAACTTTATAGGATGCTCTTTCCATGGAGCCTGGGCAAGAGCCAGTGATGGGTTCTTTCGGGCTCTTCTGTAAAAATAAATATTCTCTTGTCTACATCGTTGGCTTCTCTCTCTATTCCTTTGACCAACAAATAGTTATTGGAAGAGTTCTGTATGCACTGCGACATTCCGGGAGTTGTGGGAGCCACAAAGATAATTAGTTTGCATTTTATAAAATGCTTTCACATTTTATTCTGTACTCACAGCAGTACTGTGGCACATTACTGGTAAACTAAAGTTTGTACCGAGAAAAAAGTAATACAATTAAAACATGTAAGGTAAGTAATTGAGCTAATTCACTTTTACAATTTCCTTGGTAGAAAGGACAGCAACTGTACTTTAATCAGTAGGCAGATTTATTGATCCTCAGGTCTTCTGCGAGCTGTTTCTGTCCTAGAAAGCTTTTAATTTCAAGGCTTTTAAGGCACTAGGCTAGGACGAGAGCCGGACATGTACAGGTGGGAATTTGGGCCGAAAAGTTTAATTTCTCTTTGCGAAAGAGGAATTTGTGCAGAAATATGATTACAAAGCCTGTATCAGCTCTAGGGACTGGGGTCATGGAAGTCACAGAAAACAGGTGTTTTTCAGTTGGGAATGGTGATTCTCCCCCCCCACCCCACAATCTCCTTGTGGTTTTCGTAGAATTCTGACCATTGTCAAACCTCCCATATCCCTTCTTTATGAAATCACCAAATATCCTTCTAAGGTCTAACTTAAACACGCAGTATTGCACAAATAGGAAGGGGAGTGTGACAGATATTACTAGCATTCTGGGAGTGTGCTGGCTCATCAACGATGGGGAACACCAAGGAAATCTGGGAGGGAATTCAGACGCCCCGGCTGCGCACCCCCTGCCCCCCAGCACCGTCACCCAGTCACGTGTCCAAGCCAGGAGGTAGTAAGCAGAAACTCTCCTCAAGACTGATGGGTGGAGACAGGGGTTAAGCTTACCCACCCACAGCTGCCAACTGACGCAGACAAAACGCGCTGTTCTGTCTCAAGAGGGAGGGCTATCAGAGGGGCTGCCTGCAAATGGCATTCCCCTCCCTTCTTTTGTGCCCTTACTTCTGAATGTATTTTAAAGTTTCTGAAGCTTAGGGGCACGTGCGTGGCTCAGCCTGTTAAGCAGCTGCCTTCGGCTTAGGTCATGATCCTAAGGTCCTGGGATGGAGTCCTGCCTCGGGCTCCTTGCTCAGTGGGGAGCCCGCTTCTCCCTCTGCCTGCCATTCCCCCTGCTTGTGCACTCTCTCTCCTTTCTCTCTCTCTGATGAATAAATAAATAAATAAAAACTTAAAAAAATAAAAAAATTTAAAGTTTCTGAAGCTTAGATAGAAGAGGTGGGCCCTTGCTCTTTCACAGCCAAAGTGTGAAAATGTATAAAAAGAAAAAAAAAAGATCACTTGTTATTCTGACATGTAGATTCTGAATTACTTGGGTTAAGTGCCCTATTTTCATTCTCAGACTGTAACACACTGTTTTGCAAAATGCAGAAATGTTTCTTAGACATTTTTTAGTCACGTCTTTTGCTGCAGACATCCAGAGAACAAGTGATGAAAGCATGGTTTTTAAAAAGTAGTATTTCTGTTAATTTTATTAGAGAAATGATTTTTCAAGCACTGATTTACTAAACCACTATATTCTTAAATTATAACCCCAGTATATTTGTATGTATAAATATATGCAGGTTTATATTTGGAAAAATATTTTAATAATGGTTTTGGTAATAAGTTGCCTTCACTTAGCTTATTTATGACTTAATAGTTATTCTTTAAATATGATGTGTAACGAATTTGTATCGGTGAAGATATGATTGTGATGTATTTGTTAATTACAAATTTATTCTTTAAAACAATGCTTGCCCCTTATGCTCACGAGATTGGCTTGCCAATTCAACGTCTACTTTCGTTGGCTGTGCTGATTCTGAACTAAGTTTGGGGTTCTTGGAGAGTGTCTGCTACTGGAGAAATATAGGTTTTTGTGCGCCACACTTTAAAAAAAAAGGCAAAAATCCTGAATTTGTTTATACCAGTCCAGATCAACTCTACCAGTCGAGGATATCCCTTTCTCTAATTTTTCCAAACTTGATTAAAATTCCTTTGTAGGTCACAAGTAAACCACTGTATCTGCTGCAATAAGTTCACGTGTCAGCAGTAACCCACACGATAAACTTCTATGCAGTGTCAATTCCCAGAACAAATAAGGACACATTCAAAAGTGGCCCACAGAGCAGAGCTTGAGTCCTAGACTGTACTAAAAACTTATTGCTCTATTTTATTTTTCCTCCCTGCTTTGAACTAAACCGAAACCCTACCAACGCCACCATGATTTCCTGAAGGTCTTATAATCAGAGCAGCTCTCCTGCCCAGTCTCATCTGATGGTAGCACTTTTCCTACACTCTTTTTTGCCTCTTTGGCAATATAGCCTGCTATCACTTTGAAAATGGTGCAAAGGAAGTGCTTTCCATTAACTTCCAATTTATTCCTTTCCTATTGCGATCCTAAAATGAGCAAAAGGAATGCTAAGAACAGAATTTTAATGTAATTCAATTGAAAAGGTTTGTTCCTCTGACAAAATCATGCTGCTGGGGAACATTCATTTTATTAAAAGGGAACCTGTCAAAAAAGAAAAGCAATTCAAGCTACAGGAGAACTCAGCTTTATGTATAAGATCCATTCCCGAAAAGTTGTACGGAAAATATTTGTATATTGGATCATTTTTTTTCTACCGACTTTTATTATAATTTTAGAGTACATGTACTCCTACAGAAAATACTTCTGCTTCAGCATATCATTGTAAAAATCACACCAAGGAACTCAATATTCATTTCAAGGACTATTTTGCATTTGTCAACATGCCATTTCTGTACATCTAATTTCTCCTTATGGTTTGTGTGATGTTAGTGAAGTGAACAGTAATCGAAAATGATTTTACATATGTGTTCACTGCAAAGTACATATCCCATAAAATATACAATGGCCGATTCTCATTTCATTCTGACTGACCTCACAGACTGTGACTGTTCAAATAGCACCCCCCCTGGGCCACTACTCACATACTTAGTACAAGAATATCCTGGCAGCATGAAACTCATGCTTTTTCATACGCCTTCCACAGCAACCAGCACTTGCTGATTTGCATTTAGTGGAAAGGTCCTTTTAGTGCAGTTTAGATTCTCCCATAACTGATTATAAAAAGTCAAGGCCTTCTATTGGATAGGAATGACGTCGGCAGCATTGATATAAACCGCCAAATTCATTGTGAATGTTTTTAACGGTCCTCTTCAGTGACAGCTTTCTCACAGGGGCAAATGTAAGCCCAAAGTGTTTATGCCAAAAACCAAAGCTGTAGCGTATTTCTCCCAAATTTTGCTGCTAGTAGGTTAGGTCTGCATGAAGCAAAATGTTAATCCTTAAGCAGAAGTAGACTGACCGGGAGGCCAATGATGTGGAAGCTTTAGAACCTCTCATTGCACGGGCCCCTCCTTTGGTCTAATTTTGTCTTCTTTTTCAGAGAGCGAGGGATCCCCAAATTATAGAAGCTCCAGGTCCCCCCAAACCTGGACCCCACCTGCCCTTGAGATTATATCATTATTCTTAGATTACATTACTCTTATCACAGCATTTTATAATCAGAGCAGAATTTGGATATACTTACTCAAAAAATGTTGTCCATCCAGTCTCATCGCTTTTGGTGGCTAAAAGGCCACTATTGCCATGGTAAGTAAACAAAACTAATTCTAGTCCTTGAGCGGTCATGCTTTTCAAACATCCATTTGTTCCTATTGTCAACCATATGACTTGGTTATCCGGAGACACCACTCGAACTGGCATCCGATTCGGGTCCCGTCTAATTCTGAGAGTATTGCCATTGCTGTCTGTCACAGCAGTTACATCGTTATCATTGCTGTAGCTAAAATTATACAGGTAATCACCAGTGACTAAACTTACAGTATACTGGTGAGTGCCATTGATGTCAAAGATATAGAGTTCCTGGTCGGTTGGGGAGGCAACTTCGTAAAAGTTCATAGAGTTAAGGAAGGGCTTGTTCTTCGACACGGCCCGGATCCGGATGTTGCCCAGGTCCGCAATGTACAGGGTACCATCGGGGGAGGCGGCCAGGGAGGACGGGGCACTGAGCTTGGCGTCTTTGGCGTACCCGTCTCCACTCTGGTAACAGTCGCAGTTGGCGTCATTTTTGCAGTCACACTCGGAAGGTATCCCCGCCACCAGCGAGATCTCCCCGTCCGTGGTGACCTGCCTTATCCGGTTAATTTTCTTCTCGTCGGTTTCCGTGATGTACAGGACCCCGCTGTACGACACGGCGATGGCGGTGGCGGATTCCAGGGTCGTCTGGACTGCATGCTTCCCCACGGAATATTCCACCCCTGGGACCTGGCAGTGCATGGGCCGTCCAGCAGCAATGCGCACTTGGCGGTTCTCAGTGATCTGCAGGACTACGTTATTATCCAGGACATAAATGGAGTTATCCATAGGGTTAATGGCGAGGTCAGTGGGCCACTCCAGACGCACCTTAATAAAAAAAGAAACGGCCTGGTTAGTCCCTTGCTGTGCGGCAGTTAATTTGCCAGAGGAGTAAATTAGAACCATTCAAGGAAATTCCCCTTAATTTGATAAACTGTTTTAAAATTGTTTTCTGGCATAGCTACTGTAAAATAAACTTAAACATTTTGAGGGGAGACAAATGGAGGAAATAACATTTTAGTTAAAAAGGCAGCTCATTGGAAGATTTGCACGTTATAGCCAACAAGCAAACGAACCTCTAAGCAGTGAGTTAATAGGTATCAATGAGATATGAACACATATGTTCCTTCAGCTGTAATAACCACCGAACGTCGAGGCTTTCTAGGTTATGAATACATGAGTGTTCTATTGTGTTTTCAATCAGGCCAACAGTAAAGTTCCTCATTCTAAATATAAGTCCCGTGGGACTAATCATAGTGGGTTCTCTCTACTACTTAAAGAGCTCATGCAATCAAAAGGTTAGAGATTTAAGCTGTTTTGTTCTTTCTGGAATATCTGCCTGTTGCTACTTTACTGGTATTTTATTACGAATGCTTTAGCGTTTCTTCGTGCTAATTATTCTGTAATCTCATTGAATTCATCAAACGCAGAACGACAGAAGAAAACAGCTTTTTATTAGCTCCTGAGAAACATTTAGATGGAACAGCTTTAATACCACGAATGCCACACATGGTATATCCAGTTTAATATGGGGCCATCACAGACTACCGACCTAGTCAACCCAGACGCTCAGAAGGAAAACAAACAATGCAGCTTAAGATTTTAACTACCTGGCTGATGTGCATGCTGGTGTCACAGGTTAAAGGTCTGGCTGAAGTCAGATCGTTAGAGCCCAGGAGAGTTGATATGATCCCATTTTGATCAACTTTTCTGATCATGGTTCCATCAACAAAGTAGATCAATCCATTCTTATCAATCGCCATTCCTTTTCCAAGAGAAGTAAGCATGACCAACTTTTCAAACGGGATTCATTTTTAGGCCCATCGTTAAATTCAACATTCAACGCCAGGGATAACATGGCTGATAGGTACCAGGTAAGGTTGTAGATTGCAAATACATTAGGAAAAACCCAACAGAGGCATTTATAACACAAATCTATGTAAAATGTAATAAAGAAATAACCAAAATTTGTAAGAATCTCCACTTAGTGTATGAATCATAGAGGCGCTCCCTGCATCCTAAATATAAAATTAAAACTTCTGTATAATGCTGTTATCTATCAATTATAGAAACAGGTCAAATTCTTTTACTCGGGACTTAGAATAACTGTATTCTAACAAAAATAGATCTGAGCCAAGGTTAGCGTTTCGTTGACCCTGTTACAATGAAATTTGCTATTATGAATAATTCAGTACAACAAATGCTTTTTTTCCAGTCTTTGTTCACATAGTAGTTGCTAGCTATAATGAAAAAAAAAAAAAGCCCCAAACCAAAAAACACTGTAATGAATGGCATAATACATGAGCAAGGAGTCAGTCCCAACTGGTTTAAAAGCTAGAAACCTTTATCACATAGAATTTTACCCCTTGTTACCTCTAGAAATTCCTCACAGCAAGCATTTTTTTCCCATGGCATAGAAACAAAAGTTTAATAGCTCCAGACTGGGTGAGGACTAATAGCGTTGCTTAGTGATGGTTTTTAAAGAGGCCTGGGACTCATTCACGACAAAGAGATTCCAGGACAATGAAAGAATCTGGACACTTCCTTGAAGTTTAACAGGATGTGACCTGAATAATATGGACTAGTTGCTTTATTCTTTGAAAAGTTGAAAAAAAATGATATGATAAAAAAAATGCCACGAACCCAGTATTTACTGTAAAATCAACTTAGGATTCTGGCAGTTTCTTGCTTCACGGCTTTGAAAAACACTGGATGTGAAACAGCTTTCTAGAATACAGTTGAGGGTAAAATGTTAGATTCAGCATTAAACACAATCAGGCACTAACTGGGTTTTCTATATATATATATTTTAATAAAAAGAAATCCTCAAATTGATAAATGCCAGTACCTTTGGGACTCATGAGTGTTGCTTCTATAGCCTTCCCCCCATCTCCACATCTGGCTTCATCGAATGGAAGGCACTGCTCCCCAGTCCCAGCGACCACTTCAGCATTTTTAGTCAAATCTTTTGTACCCGTAAGTGACTTTGGGCGATAAATTCTGCGGGTGTTCGTGTCAGAAACATACAAATCTCCTGTGACTGGATCGGTTGCCAGGTAGTATCTATGAGCTGGGTTGCTGCTGAAAAAAAAAAAGGATCATACGTAAACATCCCAAGACAGTTACTCCTAACACACAGGGGAGAATTAAGAGCGAAACAAAACAGATCATGAGGAACTGATTATAAACCGAAATCCATTATTAAAGACTGGAAAATGAACAGCATATTTAATAACGACGTCAAAGAATGAGAAGAATTGAAAGCGAACTCTAATAGGACTGCTGTCCTCCCTTGCTTGTGATGGAGGATTTAATTTATTAAATTTATTAAAACAGCCATCTTGAAAATAATCCCCTTTAGAAGGCAATATGTTTTTAGCCTAAAACAAAGAGAGAAGCAAGTTCTCTAAAATCCTTTTGGTTTGATGAAAAGCCATTAATAAATTGCCCTTGAGTGATAGACATGAAGTTTATTCTGGGGGGAGGGTGTCTCTGTCCAACTCCAGGGAAGCAGAACTGATTCCACTCACACCTCGTCACAGGGAATTCTCCTGTTTTGCTACAAATCCAAATCACACGAACACTTGCCCCTCACAAAAGTAGCATTGTGTCTGTCCTGGTTGCTCTAGCATCATCCAGAAAGGCGATCTGATGCAGTTATGACGTTTGTCTGGAGCTAGGGGGTGAAATACTAAAATGAGGTCACTCATGTGCAGGAGGCCATCTCAGTCGGTGGCCCAATGCAGTGAGCCAGAACGGTAAACCCATCAGTTTTACTTTTAAAATTGTAAATTAAGCGGCTCTGAGACCTTTCTATGAATTTGGTGAGATGTAGGCATTTTTCACAAAATACCATGCCTCAATTTTATACATATCAAGGAATGCAAATGTAAACATCATCAAGGACTGGACAAACTATGACACTTAGCTGGAATGAGAAAGTTAATCTCCTGATAAACACTCAACACCACGTTCTTAGGGTTAATGTAATTTTGTACATGGTGCAAATAATGCCTTCTGGAAAAAAAATTTCCAAAAAGAATTAAAACAATTTGGTGTCCCCATAAAGATGTCAACAGATAAGAATCCATCAGATTCTACATTATCTTGATGATAAACTTGGCTTTACTAACTTTCTCTCCTTCTCTCTCTCTACACACACACACACACACACACACACACACACACACACACACACATTTTATTCTTGTTTCCATTTATTTTATCTGTGAACATCTAAAAGATGTAGTAAAAATCGAACTATATGAAAATGTTGATTCTAAATAATGGTGTAGGAGTCTCCTCATTACAATTAGGTTCTAAGGAGACAATTCTCACCACTTAATGCTCTTCCTCTTAAGTGGTGAATACATGTACTTTACGGGTCCTGTGAGAGAGACCGCTGTTAAAACAGCAAGTTCTTGGTTTCATGAGTGTGCCTCACATTGGTGGGCGCACAGCTGGCCACACGTGGAATCTGCATGGAATCTTCTGGAACTCTGAAAAGGCCTATGGCTATGACATGGATTTAATGGAAACACTGAGACACACAAAGCTTTGAATAACTTCAGGTTTCGGGTCTCCTTTCTACTCTTCAATATCTTTTAGTAACGAGACATTTTTGAGCAAGAAGTCTTGAGTGGGTAAATATGTGTAAAAGGGTGAACACCGAAGCAAAGGACTCAAAGAGATACAAGTCATTTGAGGTAAGACCATTTCAGACCTACTGGGTTTTACCAAATGATCACCTTGCCATGTTAAATGTTATTATGTCACTTTTCTAAATTGATGCCTGAAATTTTAAATGCACAGACATACTGTGTTCCTTGATGTGGTAGTTTATTACTTTGTAACTAAGTGAAAAGCTACAACATATCAATATAACCTTCAGGGCAATTTTAAGAGGTTATTTTCCCCCTAAAAACAGCCTAATATGGACAGAGCTGGTCTTTCAGATCTACAGTTGGTGACAAGGTTGCAACTCATCCAAACTGGGTCTATTTTGAGGGACATGACACTGGAGAGACTTCTCTAGTCTTTCCTCTCTCTCCAATTATATACTAATTATAAATAGATAGCTGGTTATGAGAACACACACACATACACACACACACACACACACACACACACACACACACACTTCGTTTTCTTGTCGGCTGTGTATCTATGAGCATGACCCCTAGACCAGACCGCTGGGATGTGAATCTTAGCTTCATCACTCACTAACTGTATGAACTTGAGCAACCTATTGAACTTACCTGTGCTTCAGATTCCTTATCTGTAAAGGTGATAATAACAATAGTACACATTTCATAGGATGAGCTAATACGGAGAAAATGTTTAGAACAGTGCCTTGTATGTAATACACACTCAATAAGCATTAGCTATTCTTAATATTTGCTTTTGTTCTGCCCCTCTCACACTGCTCTATGTCTTTTGCCTTGTAACTCTCTATAGTAGAGGAGTGTAATATAATTATTGTTAATGACCTCAAGTATGACTAGCTTTCTGAAAATGTTACTAAGGAAAAATTAACTAGTTAAACTTGGGACACCTTCAAATTTGTTTTCTTGGTCCTGCTGTTATACTATAAGATCCTAAACTATTAAAACAATGCAGACCCTTCTTTAAACATCCACTTGGAATTGTTTCTAGAGTAAGGATGATAAAGGTAAATGAGTAATGCAATCCAGTGTAAATTCAGCTGGAGTTAGGTATTCGTATGAAATACCTTTATAAAGCCACAAGGTCACTTTTAAGAAAATAGTATCAAGAAGTCTCTCTCGCTTTCACATGTACAAAGGGTGGGAAGGTACCAACTCCAGGAGAGCAGGCCAAGGTCTTTTTGTTTCTCAGTGTTGAAGTACGATCATCAATTGTTCCTCTGAATTTTCAGAGCCATATGACTTGGTCTTCAAATACATATGGTTTGGCTCAAGGACAAACACCTTTGGGGTACTCTGGGAATATTCAGTAATTTTTCAAGTGGAGGATAATATGCAGAATTATTCATTTAAATGACATCCAAGCCCAGGGTTAGGGGGACTTAATCATGAAATCCTTTTCACCCTCTTTACAAATCTTTTCTAAAATATCTGTTGAAAAGGCTATTTGTAGCAAAATCCTTCAAGAGCAACCTCTAGGAGATAGTTTTTAAAATAAAGAATATTAATTCAATTTTTCAGTCCAAAGATATATAAAAACAAAGCAAAACTTAGATCATGATCTCCCCATCTATTTAACCCACTTATAAACTATATAGAACTGTACAAAATGAAAAGTGAAAGGACTCTCCCTTGTCCCTTACCTCCAATATTTCATGATAAAAAAAGCATCTATCCTAAAAGACGTGTCTATTTATAGACATATACATATGTCTATAAATACATCATGCACCAAAGCTGTTCTGCACCTTGCCTTTTTCATTTAATAGCGTATAAGGGAGAATTTTAATACTGAGCAGTTCTAACTATATAAATCATGGTTTTACAATAAAGGAGAATAAAAACTTCAGGACCCGGATGAAGGATGATCTAAAAAAAAGGGGTGCTTGGGTGGCTCAGTCGGTTAATCATCTGACTCTTGATTTCAGCTCAGGTCGTGATGGAGCCCCGTGTCAGTGTCCACACTCAGCAGGGAGACTGCTTGAGATTCTCTCTCCCTCTCCCTCTGCCTGCGTGCGTTCTCTCTCAAATAAATAAATAAAATCTTAAAACAAAAGAATTATATAAAAACTATACATGATTTTTAAGGGCGCCTGGATGGCTCAGTCATTAAGTGTCTGCCTTCAGCTCAGGTCATGATCTCAGGGTCCTGGGATCAAGCCCCACATTGGGCTCCCTGCTCCGCGGGAAGCCTGCTTCTCCCTCTCCCACTCCCCCTGCTTGTGTTCCCTCTCACTGTGTCTCTCTCTCTGTCAAATAAATAAATAAAATCTTTTAAAAAATTATACATGATTTTTCATGATGTGCTTCATTTTGAGAATAAAAAAACCAGATCTTTGAAGTGGCTGCTTGAGCTATAGGACATGAGTCCAAAAATAGTGGACATTCGAGTCATAAGATTTGCCTTTACTGACGTCAGTTTTATTCCAGTGGGATAGTAATAAGAGAATGTCCGAAGTGGTGCTTACATTTGCCATTTCCTGTCCTGAAGCATCTCCTTCTTTGAAGACACAGAGATGTCTAAATCAAGCAACATATGTCAATGGTTTTAAAAATGTCTGCCAAATGAAAGCTCTAATTTTGCACACAACTCCATTGTCCAGAATAACAAATGTGGAGGAGTACAGAGTCTTGGAGAAGAGAATTTACCTCTGGAAATATTCCCCCACGGAATGGTAGGAAATGAGAACTGGATGAATTCTCTACAGTGCAGCCTAGCATGGCAGATTAGAGCTGCTTCTTAGAGCCCAGCCCCTTCTAAATGAAAAGAGGGATCAGTACCAAGCACTAAAAGAAAAAAAAGGTGAGTTTGGAAACTTTCAGTTGACTGGATGCAGAGAAGCTCTGAACAATATATGGGATGGGTCAGGGGTTCAAGGACACCGGATGTAAGCAAGAGCTTTCTGAAAGATGGAGCTAGCCCTTGTGCTCCGAATTCCTGAAAAGCCAAAGCCCTCGAGAGGCTGGTGCACTAGTACAAATGGGTGGTGAGTTTTTAGGTCAACAACAGGTCTCATGTGGAAAATGTGAAGCTACAGTGACTGAGTGTGGCTGAACAAAATGGATGGTTTGCGGGAGTCCCTGTTCACCAGGAGAAGCACCATGGCCTTCTTGTACAATTGATTGAGATTTTCATTTCAGAGAGGTTTAGGATAATATTAAGATTTTTGACTAAGGGCAGCAAAATCAAAGCAAGTTAAGAACCTTTAGTATCCTGCACCTTGATGTATCCATCCTGCACTGCCTAGATTATCACGATTCCCAAGCAAAACTTCTCCATGGACACAGATCAAGCGGTAAACACAGACTAGATGTGCTTATTCATTCTGTCATAATTCAACCTTCTTAGACTAGAGAAATACTTGCAAAGAACAAGCTATAGAATAGGTTTCATTAGTACTTCCATCTTTTTATTGG